CAGGAAAAAAAAAAACAGAAATGAACATACATGTTTCTTTTTCTAGATGCATGAGAACCTCACTGATCAGAGTTCCCTTGTTGTAGCCCCCCTCTTCACTTCCTTTGTGATGGATGGCTATCAGCTTTAGCCCGACAGCTGTAAGTACAGGTGATCCTGAAGACCCTGTCTCTGTATCAGCCTGGTAGAACACGAATGGTTTTTCAATACTGATAATCTTGTCTTGGCTGTATTCTTTTCTGCGTCCCTTGGGGTGTTGGAATATCATAACACTATCCTCTTGTCTCAGTTCTGGTTCAGGCGCAATTGGTATTGGTTCAACCCTTTGTTGTAAACTGTCAAGATCTTGCTTATTAACACCAACAAAAGTGTAGTCAAGTTCCTGACAACAAACACATAAAGTAGCATTGTTTTAATTAAACAGCTTCCTTCTAACAATCACCCCCAGTCAAATAAATTCACCTATTCTATTAAGCAACAGCCTATTCTAAAACATGCTCCAATCAGATCTCAATCTGACATTCAGAAAAACAGAAAGAGAAACTTTAAGACTCAGAGTAGAAATTGTGATCCCATCCTTTCCAGTGGCACATACTGGTATAGTGCATACTGTAGTTTAAAAGGTAGCACGTGCCTCCTCACTTGCATCATAACTCACTGATGCACAGCTAAAAACACATCATGAAAAAACTGTTTTGTATCATTGCAAATGGAAAAGTTAACTAAGAGCACAGTTAACTTTGCTCTTATAACCATAAGCCTTCATCATTGGATTCTAGGAAACAGCCCTAGGAAAATACACGCACTGACTGGTTAAACATAGTGTTTCTGTTACACAATTAGATTATGAGCTCGAGATTTCTATCACGCCAAAGTTGATGAGGGCGCAGCCCAAGTCAACTATACCGAATAATCTAATTGTTTTAGTATAAATCTACTAGTTGTTCAAAACTTTATCTAAATCCTCTTCACAGACACTTTGAAAATGCCCAGAAGCAGCCGTCATTTTGTTAACAACTGATACTGCTATGCTACTCACTATCTATCACAGAATAGATAGTGAGTAGCGTAGCCAATCAAAGAAATGTATTCGTGATAGAACACTAGTAGATTTGTAATAGTTATTGGACCGAGTGGAGTACAATTCAGAGAGTAATTGCGTGAGTAATTTCAAAATCTGACGAGCACGAAGTGTGAGGCCGAAATGAAATTATGAGCAGGATTGCTCCCTGGATTGTACAGCATGAGGTCCAATTACTAATTAATTGTACCTATAACAATTTCCGGAATTAAAAATGTCTTTTGAGAACTTCTTCTGACTGAAAACGTATGTAGTGCGTTTCATAAGCTTTGAAAACTGTAGGAAACATTGCAAAGAAAGCCATTAAAGCATGCGCAATAGACGTGCAAATCATATGGGTATCCAATTACAAGTGTCCAATTACAACAAGTTCAAATTGGATACCTGTAATTGGACACCCACGTGATCGCGTGCCGATTATGTTGCAAATAGGCGTGCTGAGAACTAATCACGATCGAGAATTTCATGATAGATACGATTTATACTAAAACTCAATAGAAACACAGTACATGTTTTCTATTTCTTAAGTGCTGCACGCTTACGTATACTGAAAAGCGCGGTACTGGCCACGTTATAATTGAATTAACTTAAGTTTTGTTTCACCAATATGGTCTCCATTTCTTTGTCATTTGTAAGTCATTTGGTCCCTCGGGATTATTTCGAGTAAACAATTAAAACTAACCTTTTGAGTTCGAAACATGATCTCTGGTCTTAATTTTACTTTTTCCCCGGCACTTGATCCCTCATAACCGAAGGTGGCCTCAGCGTTTCCGGCTTCTGCAACCGTCCCAAGCACGTGGTGATTCGTGAAAACGCCAAAGACATCACCTTCCAAGTTTAGCTTCGAAAGGAAACCCGTTCCTCGCCTGCAATTGACGGGAATGAAACAAAATCAAAATGAAGGCCTTATGCAATCTTTAAGAATAAAACAAGAACTTAACGAAATCACATTACGAGCGAAACTCTCCAACAATAAAAGGAAGCCTTACTTCAAACGCTCTCTGCCTGATCTCTCGTCTCTGAAGACAGTCTCGACATAACAAACCGCCATGATACGATCAGAAAGCATTTTCGTGCTTTGAAGACCATTTCCATTACTAATTATGACTTCTTCTCGCTCCATAGTAGCACAAGAACCTTTCTTAAGGTACAAATGAACCAAAAAAGTGCAATCAAAAATTTTGTTTACATCTCGTCGCCATTGTCATGTAAATCTCCCGCGCCAAAAGTCCTTCCCAGGACTTCGCGTAACCTGCACAAGGTGGGAAAGTAGAGCTTGGAGCGAGAAAAATGATTTTTGCGATAACTGCAGAAATAGTCCATGGGCCAGACCACTTTTCGGTACCAAACCTAAGGACAAAACCTAAGTGTTTTCAGCTGATACCACTGCATGAGGTGTTTTCAAATTTGTATGATAACCTTTCTGAATGAGTAGCTTTGCGTTAGATTTTTTAA